GGATAACATTCAAATAAAAAAAATTACTTCTTTCTTTTGAGTTTGTAAATTTCGAAATTTTTATTAAAAAAAAGAAAAAAAAGTTAATTACCTTTGTTTTTGAATTTATTTCGTCCAAAAATCATAAAAACAAAATAAAAATTCGTTTGTTTCTAATTATTTTTGAGTTTCCAAATTATTTGCTCATATTTTCTTGCCTTTTTCTGCTTGATACGAATTTGATTCTCTTCATCTACCTTTGTTTTGCAAGGTATACCAAAGAAAACTAGAGAAAACCATGGAAGAAGAAGAAAATTATTCATACCAAGTCTACGAGGACGAATGGAGCCAAGAGGATAATTCCGATCAAGACATAAGCACCAACGGGGCTGAATATAGTTGGTACGATGATGTCTATTCAGAATCTAGTTCTGAAGAGGAACCACATGGAGAAGAGTTTGAACCTGAACCACTTGATCATAGCCAAGACGATACAAGCCAATACAATCGGCCTGGAGAAGAAACGCACCAAGGAGATGATGTAGAAGAAGACAAGGAAGGCGAATCATGGTGTTATGAGACTGATTATGAAATTAATGTAGGAGAGAATGGAGAAATAGATTCATGGCGTGGAAAGGCTGAATCTCATTTCAGTCTAGAAGAAGGAGGCTATGAAGATGAACCAGAACATGGAGAGTTCATCCATCGGGAAGATTCAAATCAGCTCGTAGAGCCTTCCCACGAGTACAAACTTTGGTGTGAATTAACTTATTCTCAAATCAGTGAAGGAGAGGCACAACACCATGAGGATGAGATTTGGAACCGTGAAGAAGGACCAGAAGATAACTTTAGTGATGAATCGAACCTTGAAGAAGAGGAAGATCCCGAGCACATCCATTCTACCAACCAATTCGAATCATGGGAACATACAAGCGATGATGAGGTAGAATTCGAATCCTATCCCATATGTTTTTCAGGTCATAGCCAAGGACCAGAAGCTTACCTTAGATGGGAGAGAGACATGGAAGATTGGCTTCAAGCTAACAACATTCCCGAGGAGGAGAAGACGTCTTATGCCGAAGATACATTCACCGAGGATGCCTTTCGAGAATGGGATTTAGATGCAAATATCCGGGTTGAGTATGATGTACCAGATGCTACATAGGAGGAGATGAAACAAGTGTTACATAAAGAATTTGTGGAAGAAGCTTCAACCACTCAACAAAGCTACGTTAAGATATATACCAATCCCGAACCAAGGAGGTTGATTCTAGCAACAAGGTCTTATCCAAAAGCAAAGCAAAAGAAAGCTTTCTGTCCTGAGCCAAAGAAAGTGTTCCAAAGCGTTTTAATGAAGAAGAAAGAGGCTAAGGAACCAATTGGAGCTTAGGATGTAAAACCATATCCGAAAA